CCGTTTTTTGTTGTTTTGGCCTCTGGCGTTCCTTCATTTTCGCCTTTCGACCAGCTGTTTTATTCGATCCGAGCTTTCCTTACCTGTGGGTTTTGGTGCCAGTTGTGAGTTTTTCTTCATTACCGGTTTGAAGCTGCAACAAGTTGCCGCATCTGGAGTCCGATTTTAGGAGTACGAGAGGACGTCTTGTGCTGGCATGGGCCCTCGGATCACGGCCATGGAGATCGCCAGGAAGAGACAAAACCCGAAGGTGGCTTTGGGCGATCAGTCGCTTGGCCTGTCTTCATCCTTGATTTCTTTGGTTCAGTGCATTCACTTATCATGATGTAAATATGTGGTTGTTTTTTTTGCGTTGTTTGTTTTTGTTCATTTTGGGTGGGTTGCAAAGATTGAGTCTTCTGGCACGGGTTTTTCAGGCTGTCATCAGCTGCGTTTGCCAATGATGTGGAGAAGGTGAAGTCCTTACTGGAGCAAAACGCTGATCCGAGTCTCGCCGGTGAGACATTTTAGATTTGGATGTCCTTTTTTGAGGCTTTCGTCCCGAAAAAACTGGGACAACGTTTTTCCCTCTTGGTTTCCCTTTAAAGCCACACACACACACAGGGGGTACCCTCAAAAAGAGCACCCATTTGTAGAGTTGAGAGGAAATTTGGATCAGGGGAAAAGGAATTCTAAAAAGTGTATCGTCTTTCCTTGTAGAATTTACATCCCACACCATTTTAGTGATATCCCAGTTCTGGACTTCATACTTTTTGGGAAGACCATTTTTGTGGCAAACAAAAAGCTTAGGTTTTCTTTTCGGGCCATCATTTGAAGTCGATGGCCTCCAAAAGACCAATGCGCCACCAAGGAATCATGTGCATTTCGAGGTGTGCTGCGACGTGCCGCTGGCGCGGACCAAAAGTCCTGAAGTGGCGAAGCTCCTGCTGGCCCATCCGGAGATTAATGTGAATCCTGGCCGAGGGGATTCCACCCAACCTCCCATTTGTAAGAATATGTTGTATTTTCTTCTTTTGGTTTGAATGGGAATGTATCACTACTGGAAGTATGTGTTTTTTTCCAGTTCTTAAGCAAATGGAAGCAACTCTTTTCCTTTGAGAAAGGCTCTCTTTGAAATCATAGGGGCCATTTTGGAAAAATAGATGCCGATTCCTGGTTGCATGTATTTTGGCCCAAAAGGACACCTATCTTTGAAATGAGCCAGCAAAAAAAGGTGGACCTTTCTTCCAATGTCCGCGCCGAGGAATGCAACGGACATGAATGACTTCAGCATTTTGTCAAACATGGTGCTTCTCAATCGCGAGAATGTGGAGCTGGTGTCTCAAATCTTGGCACATAACGATTTGGATGTTCATGCTGGTGAACCCATCAAAGTCGCAGCACGGTTCGGCCCCACCGCGATGCTGCGAACTCTGTGACATGGCCGAACGGAAGAAAATCATGAGTCGGTCCGTCTCTCTGTTTTGGATTCGGACCCCCCCCCCACAAAAAAACACCCACATGGCCCTTGTCCACTTTTAGTTGTCCGAATCATTTTCACTGACCATCAAGCTTGTGGACTTAACTGACTATGTTACGGCCTTTGCCCTTTCTCTATTCTAGCCCACAAGCTTCGCACAATTTTCTCCAAAACGATGGTTTCCAGACCCCGTCTTTCCCTTGGTTTTCCTTTTTGGGATGTCCCCTTGATTTGGGGACCGAAAGGGGACTCTTTAACACTCATGACCTTCCCCTCAGATCGAGTGCTCGATGTCAGGTTGGAGCATCCCAAGTTGAGCATCAACGACCCCTGCGGCTTGCTGCACTGCGCAGTGCGGCGAACAGACGCTGCCTCCGTGGAGGTGGGGAGCTGCAAAAAGAGATACAGTTTCGGCCTCCAGCGCAGGAAATGGCCGATCTATTGCTTCCTTTCACCAAAAAAAACACAAAAACGATCAAACCAAAACACAACTGGTGCAATTAAGCAAAGCGCGCTAGGGCCCCGGCAAGAAACACATGGTTGAACACCAACCCCCAAACCTTGGGACGGCAAAGTCCAAGCGGCGAGCACATGTTGTTTCAAGCAGGGCTTTGCGACCGGAACCAACAGGAGGTTGAAGCACTAGGTGTTTCAACATGAAGCTGGCCCGACCCTGGTCATAAGCCCTGTGGTGCCCTCTTTCCTTTTTTTTCCAAAACCAGCTACAGAAGTTCCAGAGGAAGGACTTGCTTGTTTGTGTTTTTTTTTGGGGGGGTATTTGGTTTATTTCCAGTAGACATTCCTGCTGGTTTCTATGTGTTTTTGTGGATGAGGTTTGTTTCAGAATCTCTCCCTCCCCCCCAAAAAAAAAACAAAACAAAACAAAAGAGGCTGGTTGCAACAAGTCCCAAATGTGTCCGAGGTGGTCACGTGGCTGCTGCAACATGAGGAACTCGACATCAATCTGCGGGCAGACGGCGGGTCCACAGCCTTGATGAGTCATTGCCTGACTTAGCGCTGACGAAACACCATGGAACCCCTTCCATGCCTCTCTCTACCGCGGGAAACGGGTTTTCTAGGAGTCAGGTTCAATGGCAGGGTGACTTTTTAACCTTTAAGTTGCCCTTTCGCCGTTCCGTGGTTTTCCCCTTCAACCACACATTCCAAACGGGTCTAAGTTTGGAATCTCCCCGGTTCCCTGCCATATTGTAGGTTCCGTTTTGAAGAGTTTAGAGAGATTTGTAAGACATTTCCCACTAAAGGCTCCAAGAACCCGCAGGACATGTGGGAAATCCTTGTTTTCAGTGGGTCTTTGGCCCATTTCCGGTAGTTCCTGCTGGAAACCAATGAGTAAGGAATGTGGGCGGTTGGGATTCTTTGACCATCGAGATCGGCGAAAAGGAAGCCGTGAAGCGGCGCCAGATCGCTGAACGACAGGACACGGATGAATCTGATTTTCCCGTACTATCCCTACCCCCTTAGAAATGGAATTGTGGGAGGGGGGTAACCCCTGGAATTCCATTTATGGTTCCATTTTCCATTTTCTGGGAACCCCCCCAACCCTTCCCCCACAAGGTAGAGGGGAATTCCAGTCTTTTCTGTCACGGCCAAAGAACGCCTACATTATAAGTTATGGTTTCTCGCCGATATGAACCTTGACAGCCATTGAAACCCGGTAATTATAGCTTAGTAGGGGATTATAGCGAAGCCCAGGTAACTTCAACCTTCATGACCCAGCTGGTAGAACCCAGGGTTTGGGGGCAGGTTGAGATCCTGCAGATGTTGCTGGCGCGAAGCGACCTAGATGTGACGGCCTGTGACTCGAAGAATGAAACCGCGCTGCATCGGATGAGCAGGGCGGGGCGCCTGGATTTGGTGCAAGTCCTTCTGAAGGATCCAAGGCTGGGATGCAAAGTTTTCTGGAAGGTTTTGGGGGAATCGCAAGTGGCTCGCCGGAAATCTCCATTTAACCACAAAGTTCAAGGGATCGCCAGCTCGATCTCAGGCAAACTTAACAACAAGCGGAGGGCCCCCTTCCAAGGCGCGGGGGTTGAATAATCGCCAGCCCCTTTTTCAGGTGCGTACCCTGCATGTGGCAGCAAAATGCAGATGGGCAGAGCCCCTTGGATGCTGCTGTGGCAGCTGGTGAGAAGGAGAAGTCACGCAAGAGATGGGAAGTGCCGCCACACATGGCAAAGTTTGACAAGGTCGCATGTCCCAACTTCATTCTTTGTTTTCCCTTTTGACCACGCATACTTTTCTCCAGGCTCAACCAATCATGTTGCCCCTTTGCCCTTTTCTCTTAGTTTTTCCTTCATGTTTCCGCGTTTGACCAGCAGAACGCGCTTGATTGAACTGCAACTGGGTCGTTCTTGGCTTTCCCTGAGGGGTTTCAAGAGCATAGGTGTCCTCTTTGGCTGTCTTGGTAGAAAAATAGACGGCCCTGGTTTACCTGGTGGTTTCATCTACCATCTATTTGCCCTAAAAGAACACCTATGTTCAAGAGGCGGTGGGCCAAAACCGTTTCGGGATCCCATTTTGGTTGGTATGTGCATGCACCACCCATTTTAGAACCTATTTCAGTGGTTGGATATCGGATGTTCACCCGGGGCTAACCGTGGGCTTTGGACTTTTGGCCCAGAGTCCCCGAGGTCATCGGACTTCTGGAGGCCTTCGAGGAGGAGAAGAAGGCGGAGCTGGTGCAGCTGGTGCCGCGTGAGCTGGCGCGGCATCCTGGCACCTGGTCCATGGCGGTGAATTCTCTTTGAGCCCAAACCTCCAGAGTTCGGAGTCTCCGCTTTTCTAGGAGGCCCTGTAAAAAAAGAGAGAGGGAAACAACAAGAAGAAGGTGCAATAGACGTTTCTTGGAACCATACTGGAGGTCTGGGCAAAGAGACTCCCCACTTCTTTACTTGAGTACAGAGCTGGAAACGCGCGGCAGGATGTACAGGTCTGCTTGCAGCTGGCAACGTTTCCTCGAGGTGCATCCTTTGCTCAAAACATAGAGGACTGCGTGCTCACCCCTCCCCTGTGCAATGGGCTCGATGTCAAGTTGCGGCGTGTGCCTTAGGCATCACCATGGCTAAGACGCATTCCCGGCAGAAACCCTCTTATCGACTTCTTGTCCTTGACTGTTTCTTGAACTTGTGAAGACGCTTCCAACGTCTTGCCGCGCACGCCTGCGTCAGGTTGGGTCACCTCATTATCATCATCATCATCCTCCTCATCATCATAACCCAAGCAATCAAAGGACACCTCCTCAAATGGCACAACCGGAGGTAGAATAGTCCCAGCTGATGGGTGGCAAGAATCCTTCAAATAACCAGGCCGTTACCTTTAAAGGGGAACCAAAAGGAGAAGCTGTCGGAGTGTGTTTAACCATGCATAGGGGTTAACCCCGGGTAATATTCCTCAATGTGATCTTCAACAAGATATTTTCCTCCAAAAGTGCGTTGAACACCTTAGCAGGTTGATTTCCTTTTTGCAACCACGTTGCGATCTGAGATGTGTGTGTGTGTGTGTGTTGTGTTTTCCACCAGGCATGGCGCTGGCAGGTGGGCCGTTGGGGAGAGACACGGTTTAATAAAGAATTTGCAGTTTCAGGGCTGGGGATAGTTTTCAAATTTCAGAGGTTTCAGCTGGCTTTGGGTTTTGTGTTTGAGCAACCAATTAAAAGGGGAATGCTTTTAAGCAAGTGGGCCACCATCAACAATTTGTGGATATTTTAGGATATGTGGATATGATTTTTGGCTTTTCCTCCCCGGGCAAACAACAACTTTCAGTTATTCTGGTCCCCATCAACAATGGGGGTGAACCACAATGAGGAAAAGCCACTTTGCATTGACGGCCAGGACTAGCAGAGAGAATCAATGACGTGAAAGCTACAATCCAAACAGTCGTGAGGGTACCAAGTTGGAAGCTCTCGAAAGGCCGCGGTAAACGGAGGTAAGTCTCTCAAGTTGGTGGGAGCTGACTTCTAGCCCCAGCCAAATGAACTGAGAGGTGGGGGTAGTTGGCTAGGGGGTAGACATACCATGACTACAGGGAGTCGCTTGGGGGAAGATATTCGCTTGCCTTGTACTCCTGCGGCGCTGTTTGGGTTCCCTTCCAACATGGATGCTTTCCTTTCGGCTTCCCATTTGGCCACGGGGGTTCCCGCAGAAACCAGTATGAACCCCAGAAAGGAACCTGGGTTAGCTAATCGCTTATGGCTGGAACCAAACAGTGCAATGCACAAGTTTCCAAAAAAGATGGGGTCCACTGAATTTGCAGTGTTTGAAGGATAACGACCAGAAACACATCATATGTTCAGGCGCGGAGGACGTCTATGCCAACCTCTTTTCGGAGGCCGAATCGGCGGGCGAATCGAACAGGCGCTGGGCCCCTTGAAGTGGCTATATAGCAAATACCCACGCTAGGTTGTTTGAATAGGACACCAAGCGGAAGCTAGGCATTTCTGTTGGGCCCCTTTTTTGAGACTCGCCGAACCCATTTTGAATGGGTCTGTCTCAAAATAGGAATCGGACCCCCCCTGGTCCGGGGACCCTTAAAAAAGACACACTCATATTGCCAAATTGATTGAGCTTTGGAGCATACAATATAGGGTGAATCAATTCGCTGTATTTTATCATTCTATCAACATCTTACTATCATCTTGGAATCCAATTCTTGAATTACATCTTTCTCAAAGACGAGATGTAAAGGGTAGAGAAAGGAAAGTGTGAGAGAGGAAGAGAGAGGGACGAACCAATCGACAATATGTGGGATTACGTTTGGGACCAGAGACATCTTTGCCCACTGGAATGATGCAATAATTTGTGTTTTTTGCTAGGGTGGAAGGTTGACCAAGGATCTTGGTTTCAACGTTTGGGCGCACAGGTAGCCGCAGATACCCAATGCTTGATTTCCCCGAAAGGGAAGTGCCTGCGTATTCTTACGATCTATCGCCGTAAAAGATCATAATTTATGAGGAACGCTCCGGATCACCGCCTTCCTTGGCGTTGCTTTTGGGCAAGGTGACGAATTGCGTTGGACAGGCAAGGTCTGCAATATAGGTACCCTCCCTCCAACTAACATGGCAACTGACAGGGCCTTCAAAAGGAATGAATCTTCCAGGTACCTCCCCACAGGTGCCATGTTAGTGGACAGGAGGGCAACCGCCAGTAAATGCACTCTTATGGGCTTATGGGCAATGGGGAGGGGACAGCTCGGCGGACTCGTTGCACCACCCAGAGGGATCGGCTGGGAGGTTCCTTGGGGCGGGGGGTTTGGGGTGGGGTTACCGGGTGCCTTGAAGCGGCTGCATGAGGAGTTCATCAAAATTACGGTACGGGGTCCCGGTGCTTTCCCGGCAAACGAGCATTCATATATTTAGGTGGTAATTTGAAGGGTGTCACTTTTGGCATCAGCAGACATTGCCTTACCCTGTGTCCAACGTGCACTTTTGTTTCACAGGACGGGGGCTCGAAGACTGCGAACTTCAACAGATTTGCTAGCAAGATATGTGTTGAGTTTTTGTCTTAGGTCTTCCTTTGGGGATTCGGTTTAATATACCAATCGAGGAACGAAAAGGGATGGGTAGTTGCTGATTTGTCCAGACCCCCCTCAGATTGTTTGGCTGTTGCGGAAAATCGCTGCGAGTTAAACAGCAGAAATATCTCTCAAGATTATGTTGTTTTTGGAGGGGGCCCTTTTGGCGTTTGAAGGGAACCAACACGAACAACACCATTTTTTGGGTTCCCCTATTTTGAGTCATACCCATCCGCAAAAGGGTTGCTTCAGTCACCTGGCTCCGAATCTGCTCTCATCGGGTTGCAATCGGTGCTTCAAAAGGCAAGAGCCAGGGTTCCGTTTGGTCAACGAAAAGGATGCTTCCCATCCAAAATGCCTCTGACAACGCCCCCTTGCAGATCATTTCTGGGCGATGCAAGCAAGACCTTTCGGGTGGCCTCTCGGGCCTTTCGGGTCAATATGTTTTTTGAGGTGACGTTTTTTCAAGGCGACGCGGTTTATTTGGCGATTCGCGGTTTATTTCCGCAGTCCCGGTGGAAAGGTTTTCTCCATCTGCGGCCGTGGGTCTTCGACCCTTCAGGCGATTCCACTTCTATGTGAACCAGCCCCTGCCCCACGGCAAAACCACCAAGCTATCTGAACATCGACCATCTTTAAGCGACCCGTCCCCTGTAGAAGACACAACAATAACTTGCCCCCGGAAGAGGACACAGCAAAAGCAGCCCCCTCTCCGCACCAAAGCACAAACACAACACCACCCAACAAAAACAAGACCACCAGCAAAAAGGACAATCACCTTCTGGGGACTTGCTTGCGATTTTGGACCTCCCCGTTCAGGCGCTGTCCGGCTTTTTGGAGGTTCCAGGTGCGCTTCGCTTCCGGGGGTTCAGAAGAGAGCCGAGTGGATTTGTCTCAAGTTTCGCTTTCGCGGGGCGAGTGCCCCTTCTCTTGTGGGTTCCCTTAAGGAACGCGGCCGTTTCTTCGGCTGGACATCTGGGTTTGAGTTCAACTGAGGGTTTCTGCGGCAAAACTCCTCGTTTTGTCCTTCTCCCCCTTTCACAGCACCAAGAGGTGATTTTCTCAAAAATGGGGGGGGCAGAAGACTACGTGCCGAAGAAGGATATTGTCGGTTTTTGGTTGCCACTTTCTGTGACTGGCCAAGGGACTTTACTTGCATGTGTGTGTCACAAAGAGTTGGACTGCCTGTTGGTTCATCCTGCCAAACATGATCCCAGTGGATTCCAGGTACCCACATGATGGGCAACCCGCTATTTTCCTTTGGATTTTAAAGGGTGCTCCCATTCATTACCTACTATACTATAGGTACATGGATGCACTGCGGACAGTATGAGCTGGACTTAGGGTGCAAAGGGACAGAGGTCTTAGCACCGCCGAGTGCAGCTTGGGGATGATCCCGACGCAAATGTTATGGGCGGCAGTTAGACCATGTGGTGAGTATTTTTTGTGTCATGGGGAGCAAACTTCCTCAATGCCTGGGTTCCTGGACTTCATACTTTTTGGGAAGACCATTTTAGCCACAGAGTTTTCTTCATTCCCCTTGTCGGAACCCAGTTTCGAGAAAACAACTGCCAGCAAATTGCAACCTTTCCGGGGAAACCCAGTGACTGTAGTAGCAAGCAATAAGTTTGGACTATTGGGCAAATTCTCGAAAGTAAGCCTCAGGCTTGGATCTTCAACCCACTGAACATCCTTTCCTATCCGATTGAAATACTCAGGGGTTTGCCCAGAAGTCAGGTTGTTGGCCAGACTGGTGACAAATGCCTTGCAACTCTGAACTGAATTGACAGGACGTGCAAGTCCATGCAGTTTCCAACCAAGCAGAAGTTAAACATCACCTTTTGGTTGCCAACGTCCCTTTAGGGGTGATGCTAAATTGGGACACACGGGTTAGTCTGCAACACTGGGACCCAATTTCCAAAAGCCTCCTCCTCCAACCAACCAACCCAAAAAAGGGGCGTACATTTCCTTTATATAGTGGCTACAAAGTGACTGGCTGAATTGCGGCGTGTGAACTCTAGTAATTTGGCCATCATCATCCCAAAGAGTCGTTTGTCTTGTTTGGACATCCCATCATTTCTTCTCTGTTCTTGGTTCTTGATTTGTGAAGTTTAAAGCCCTCTTCGCACCCGGCTGAGAACGAACATGATCAATGCTTTATTATGCCACTGGCGAATTGCAACCCGCAACTATTGGCTAACTAGCCAATAACCACAGCTAGTTCACCCATAGGTCTTGTTTAGCCAACCCATAGTCATTGGTCAATTGGGTGTTTCTCAAACTGGGGGTTGTCTTTTTGGACGGTTTCACGAAGCCAAAAGGAGACCAACCACCTCAAGTTTTTTTGTTGAGAAAGACCCACTTGATACATAGGGTTCCTTGTCCCCATTAAAAGAATGGCAAGGACCCAATGATGGTGGTAAAGAATGATGGATATATGAACCCAACCATTGTTTTAATGGCTCTTTGAACCCCAGGGTTTTCTTACCACCACGAAGAACCATGACCACAACCACGAGCAGCCAGACGGCTGCACCCCGACATTGTTCTAGGTAAACCAACCCCCATTACACGAATGGCAAGGACCCAATTTAGGCTGTAGGTAGACAATGGCGGGTATATTACCCCCCCCCCCTCCATTCTTTTCATGTGGTTATTTTACCCCGGTTTCAACAGGGGCCCCTGTATGTCCCAACCCCGTTCTTGGGTTGACCCAATTTAGACCGGGGAACGATTCTTTAGCAAACCCATCGCGTCTCTTTCGCCGGAAACGAAAAAGAGGCGGCGCTGCCGCTGAGCCCAAGGCGTGGTGACTTAGGAGTGTCATTTGAAGGTGCCCTGTGTAGCTTTGGGTCTGAGGGAAAGCCACAGGTGTGTCATGGTTTCATTGTTTGTTTGTTTGTTTGGGGGGGGGGGGAGCGGGTTTTGTTGAGGACATACCATTTGTTGCCTGGTGCTAAGGGATAGCTTGTGTGGGTGTTGTTTTTGTGGGTGTAGCCTTGTTGGGGCTGATTTGCCCTTTAAGACCACCCCATGTGCGTATCTATGTGGGTGTGACCATGGGTTGATAAGGGAAACTAAGGGAAACCATCCAACTCGCGTAAAGACCAACCCATATCCTTCAGAACCCTCCTCATCTTGTCTCATGGAAACCTGACCGCCCAATAGATCCCCCCTTGGGATTGAGCCTTGGCCATTGCGTCCTGGGTCCTGAGATTCCGCATCCTCTCCGGCCATTTTTGTTCAAGCCCCGCCAGAGGAAAGCACAGTGAAATGACGTCCATGCTTGAAGCGTTAGGATCTCGATGTGGTTAGTCGTGTTGTGTGCTATATGAGGGGCTGGCCTGAGCGCAGTCGGTGGGTTAATGAAGCTGGGTGTATGTCTTTGTTGAGGGTACCTTCTGTGGGGGTCCTTTCAAAGGGAAACCAAGGGAAAGCATCCATGTTAAGGGTTCCCCTATTTGATTTAGAGGAGCAAACAGCTGAAGTAGTGTTGGGTTGTTTCTGGCTATGTGTTTGCTGAGACTCGGAGCGGCAATGCGTCGGACAAGGAATGCGTGGCGAACTGGCGATGGCAGCAGTCGCATTACCAAACTTTGTAGATGAAACTCAGCATTGTTGCTTGGAGTTGGAGAGATATGTGGCTATGAATTTTAATGGGGACGCCCCTGAAAAGTGGTTGGTGGGACATGAATCCGCTAAATTTGATGTCCGCCCTTTGGGCCTTGAAATTCATACCGTGTTTGTAACCAGCCCAAAGTGTCCCATGACTTTAGGGTCCAAGTTTTTGCCCACAGTTCTGCGCCCAGGTTCCGGGCTTGCCTTTAGAGCAGTCTGGCAAGTCGGAGAAATGGTAGTATCCCCACTCCCATAAAAATGGAATTGGGGGAGGGGGGTGACCCCTGCAATTCCATTCACGGTTTCATTTTCCCCTTGTGTGGGGACGACTAGAACAATGGAATTGGGGACCCCCCAGCCCCCTCCCCCTCAAGGTAGGGGGATATTGTAGTTTTAAATCCAAGGGTTTGTCTGCAAATGACGAGGGTTCCCCAACCACGGGCCGTTGTCTTCGTTGTCTCCCTCAGAGAAATTAAGCCGTGCTTGCTGCTAGCCCAAACACAAAAAAACGATGTTTTCAGAGGTGGGCAGCTGTCTGTTCATAGTCAATGTTTTCGCGATTTGCCAGGCTTTGCTTATGCAACCTTCAAAGGGGACAAGGATTGAAGCTGTTGGAGGAGGTTCCTTTGAACGCAACCAGCGCTCTGGAAGGCGCCAGGCCCGCAAGGCGCCATCCGGAAGTTTGGGGTCCGAAGACCAGCGCTCTGGAAGGCTCGAAGCCATGGGCCATGGAAAATCGGGGTCTGGGAAACCAACCTTGTTGGCAAACCAAGGCCTCGGGAAACCAAGTTGGAAGGTTGAAAACTAAGGAAAACCAAGATTGGATCTCAACAAACTCCTGGAAATTGGCGGCAATCTGAAGAAAGGGGGCCCAAGGGGAGAAATCACGACACGAAACCAATGGGGAGCCTAGAAACTGAGTTCCGGAAACCAAGGAGAGTCAGAGGGAAACCTAAAGGAAGCCAAGGAAAGCCACAGAAAAGGCAAAGAAAGCCTGGGAAACCAAGTCAAACCAAGTGACACCAAGGGTTTTTAACAGCCTCTCAGCGTGTGTCTGAGGTGGGCGAGTGGTCCACAGCGCTAGTGGTGGAGAAGCGGTTCTGCACAGGGCCCCAATGCGGCAGCGAGAGTTTCTCGAAAATGGCACCCCGCCCCAGAAATTCTGCTGTGTTTTTTGGATTCGCGTTTTGGGTTTCCTCGTGTTTCTTTTGGATCCAGGTAGCCCTGAATTGGTGTTTTGGATTCATTGTTTGAGGGTTTGAACCCTGGTTATTGCAAAGGGTAAACCGGAAACCGCCCCTAACCTCCAGACCCCACGAATTAGAGATGAAGCCAAATTTAGGCTACATCGCTTGAAATTAGTTTTTGTTGGTTCCTTGTGCAGCGGTTTTTCGCGTGTTTCTGGTGTCCCACGGTGCCACCGCGCTTTTGGAGAACTGCGGAGACGGTTTCAGCTGGTTGGCAAAGACCGTACCAACTCTCAGGTCCGAAGCGAAATGTAAAACGACTCCCGGGCTCAGCTTACGAATCCCTTCCTTCCAGATGGAAGCGCCACTGTGTTCTCCGGTGTCCCACGGATTGGCTTTTTCCGGATTGGGATTCTTTGGATCCCGCCTTAGCAACCCAGCTCCGAAGGCGGATTCCTGTTGATTTCTCTCGACATATATCAAAAGGGGATCCCTAACTTTCAGAGAAAAAGGCAAAAAACAACAAAGCATGTGCACAAACAAACAATCACGGGCCCCATAAAATCTCCCATCTGAGGACTCTTAAATTCCAGGTGAATTATTCAAGATCTCAACAGCTGATCCACTCTCCCCCCTCAGCGGTGCTTGGGGGGGGTACTGAAGTCTCCATTTCCCACTGCCGCCGCTGCAAGCAAGCAAGCAAGCACAAAGAACAGATTACTCACCCCAGCCAACTTGTTTGAACACACCTCAGGCGACTTCTGTTCGGGAGACGCGTTAGGGTTTCTCCATGAGCAAAGGTGGGAAATTCTCGGACCAAACCCGACACAAGGATGCATCGAGTGACACACTCTCCCGGGAACAATTTCAAATATCCCTTGGAGTGTGTCACTGGATGGTCGGTTTTTTTGGACACCGAACCCCGTGTCAACTTCAGCCGCACCGGACAAGGTAGACACCAGAACCGGCAGTGCGCCAAGGCTTCAGGCGCCAAGGTCTTGGGATCCTTGCGAGAGTGGAAGCCTCCAAGAACACTGCCCGAAATGGTGTCCCTTGACCTCTTTTTTTGACCACCCCAAAAAAAGACACCACAGAATACTTCTGGGGAAGCTTGTGGCAAGCACAAATGTGGACCTTTTGGGGCAAACGTGGCTCGTTTTTTCGTGTGGTTTTCTTGGGTCCATAGTTCAGGTTCTGAAAGGATCAGGGATGTTGCATGGGAACAAAAGGCTATGGTTGTCTGTGGTTCACAGACCAGCTGGCCCACTTTAGGGAGGATTTTCATGAATTCATTCCATCAATTTTCATCATTAAATTCATTTTTTGTCAATGACTTGGACGGTAGTTGGGTACCAGGCTTCTGAACCATGGCCATAATATCACGTGAAAGAACATATTCACATTTTTGGGGGATGAAGTTTGCCAGCAGTTTTATGACTCCTGCCATGGCTACCAGATTGTATGGCTCAAAGCTGTTCAAAGTCTGGCAAAATAAATTGGTTGGCAGCCAGTGGGGATGATGACTAGAGCAAACTCAAATGGAGATGATCCAAAACCTTTGATAGATGTTCATCATGCATCATGGTCTATTTTGAATCGTAAGTGAGTGGGTTTGCACCAGAGCGTTGAAGAATGGTGAGCCATCCTCCGAGAATGGATAGGAAGCATCCAAGGGCGTGATCCCACGACGCTGGCCTGCCATGGGTCCCTGATGCTGTTCTTTGATGCGAACCTCGTTTTGGGCGAGAGCAACGTGGAGTTCCTTGAGGGGCAACTCAGCATGGCGGGTTGTGTTTGAAGATGGGACCGCGAAATGTTGGCACCATGATTCACCATGTAACTCGAGACAAGAGATGAGGATCCCAGATTGTTTCAATCAACATCAGTCCAAAATCCAAGCACAGATCAAAACCATGAGTTTCTCCTGTTTTTTTTTTTTTTTTTTTTTTTTCTCAAGCCTTGGTCAATTGCTGTTTCGTGCCGTCTGTGCCATATGGCGGCTGGCCTCGTGTTGGAGGTTGTCAAGTTGTGCGGTGAGACCATTTGGGGCCCAGAGACGTTGGCATCCACCTTGAGCTGTGACCAGCTCCGGCGCCAGGTGGCCACAAAGATGAAAATCCCTTGGAGGGCTGTGCAGTTGGCAGCCGGTGAGCAGCCATTGCAGGGACCGGAGACCTTGGACAAAATGGGATTAGTGGAAGGGAAACATCAGATCCAAGTGGTTTTGCAGGACAACTCTCGCGAGATTCGGCAGATCCAAGAAGAACTTGTGAAATGTTCTGAACCTGGCACTGTCCTGGCTGATGGCTTGTCTGATGAGCAGGTGGAAATTATTGAGAAGAAGTATGGATTTTGTTTCCCACCGGAATATCTAGAGTTTCTTCAGGCCGGTGTCCCTACTGGAGGTGGATGGCATGATTGGCATGCTTTAGTATCTCTTGAAGAAGGGAGTCCTGAAGACACCGTTTCTGAGATCATCAGATGCCATTGCACACCAGACGACGACTCAGACGACTACTATTACTTGAATCCTTGGGCTCCAGAAGACGAGAAGAGCCTGGAAAAAGCAGTCGAGTATGCTACCAAGATCTACCCCGCGATTCCCATTTGTTACCATCGGTGTACCCTCACGGTTCCTCATACTTCTGGCTTGCCGGTGATGTCTATGCACCAGATGTCTGATAACATCCAAGTTGGCGACAACTTTTGGGATTGGATGGCCAAAGATAACGATCTGCCAGAAGGCACTGTACCAGAGGCATGGAGGTCCCAGAAGTCCATCCCCTTGGATGAGATACCCTTCTGGCAGCACTGGGGCGAGTGATGCCAGGGTGTTGCGCAGTGAGGCGAAGCCTTAACCGTGGGCATCTGCATCCATGTACCTTTTCATACCCCCTCAGAGTTGCGAAAAAGCTGTGGCCGGGAGCCAGTGGGAGACACTAGAATTATTAGAATCTATACCATGGAATACCTAGTTCGATAGCAAAAAACACATGCGCACGAAGCTAGGCCCACACTATAACTAGATATATTACATACATATATATACATATATATATATATATATTATAATGATAATAATAATGATAGTAATGATAAACAGGACTGTTTCGATGACGATACGGTTCGGTACCGCAAGCTCCGCGATACCACTCGACTTTATTGATATGTATTGCTTTGAATATCCGATAAACTTGCGATACAGCAGGGGAGTATTGAACAATATCTCGATAAAGGAATATACTCAACCGCTGCGGCGCTGCGGCTGCGCGCTGGTGTGCAAGCTCTACTGCCAACAGGCCGGGAACCTCGAATTCGTCGCCAAAAGCCCGAAAGAAGCAAGAAGCAAGCCTGCTCTTCTGCAGGTGCCAGAGAGCCAGACACAATCCACTACACCAAAGTACTCTTACAAGCCTCCTCAAAAAAAGGTCTTAAATCGACATTAATTTGGTCCGCACTTCCCGAACCCCTCAAAAACGAGCTGTCCCGGATGAGCCCTGAGAAGTGGGAACCCTCAAAAACGATCTAGCTCGCCGAGTTAGGCTTGGCTGGTTGCAGCTGTCCCGGATGAGCCCTGAGAAGTGGGAACCCTCAAAAACGATCTTGAGCCCTGGGAAGTGTTCAACATGGAATCGGCTTGAAGCAGTCTCAGTCTGTTTTCTTGGCTTTCCATTTCTCCAAAGAGGGTCTCTTCTAAGCAGCCTCTCAAAGACTTTGCCAGCGCCTCCCGTGCCAGGCAGCCACCAGCACAGCAGCAGCTGGCTGCCGCCCTTCTGGCCCCCAAAGAGCCCCTCAAAGCAAACCCCAACCGATACCGATACAAATCGGTATGATTCAAAACGATTTGCAGCGATAGTCTTCGATACGATGTGAGGTTGCAATACTTGCTTTTTGATACCGATAGCTCGCAATACGCAACGATACGATTCGGTATGTTGTATTTGTACTGTTGAAACGACCCTGATGAATATAGTAATAATAATTATAAGAATAAGAGTAATAATTATAAATATAAAAGTAATAATAATAAACATCATTTGTGTGTTTGTTGGCTTGTTTCTTGTGCGCAAACCGTAGCGGCCAACAAGCAAGCGTGACTGTTGGACTCCCCTAATGGTTAGCTACATCATGGCCAACATGCTTGGGGTGGCTGTTTTGAGGGTACCCCTTCCTTGTGGTAGACCAAGGAAAGCCACAATTTTGGGGGGTTCCTGTAAGAGAGAGACACGCATATCATCGATGATACCAATGCCCCGCAATTGTTCACATGCATAAGCATCGTCTGCTGCAGTTGGCTCTTTTTCTTGTACCTTTGTTTCCCCCGTAGCCACACACAGTCCACCCTACGCCTTTATCACTCCAGCTCATTTCAACCATTCCCGCTTCACGCGTGGTGCGCCTCCAGCATTTGGCAGCTATTGACAACAATGCGTGTTAAAGCCGTGTTTGGGATGCTGCGTCCCGACATTGCTCTCTCACGTATGTTTTTTTTCCGGTTTGCGATTGATTACTTTGCTCCCAACCCTGGGTAATGATTTGTCCACATCATCCTCAGCACGTTTCTTCGAATGCTGGATTTTGAGTTTGTAGTCATCCAGTTGTTTTACAATGCTTAATGCTTGTTGTCAGTCTTGGATTAATCCGGAGGACCCTCTCGGAGGACCCTTTCGCGGTTTTCATTGCTGAAAAGGGCTTGCTTTTCCTGACTATTTTATCCGGCGGCATTTTCTCTCAAAGGTGTACTCTGAAACCTAGGCTTGATATTTGTTCTTCAAGCTTCCAATTGGCAACAAGGTAACATGCTCATTTTGAAGGTCTTCTTTGAGTCCCGCATCCCGTTATGTGTATATATACATACACACGTATATGCCCTGTTTACATGTGCGATTATACATGTGTGGTCTTTAAGTTGAAGCATTGTCCTAAACTGTTTTAAATTTTAAGTTCTTCAGAGTTGTTTCCAAATGAGCTCTCCAAATTGGACCCCAAAAGAAGTGGTTTCACTCAGGCTTCTTTTTTGCTGTACCAACATCCCCCGTTTGAAGTGACAAGGTCGTAGGGAATTCGTACTTTGCTATCACAGAAAGGCGCGTGTTTTCCACAGCTCGAAGGCTCGAAGGCCAGGACCTCCGCTGTCACGAGCCGGTATCGTGGTAATTGATTTTTAATTGTTTAGATCCATCCATCGGACTCCAGGTACACCGTGTGGAGCCTCAGGGAGGGTTTGCGCGGGCGTGGGAAGAAGGCTGGCTACTGCAAATTGGTACCGTGCCAAGTTCGGGGCCTAGCCACCTGGTTGAGAAAATAAGGCTGACTGGGTTAAGTCCACTTGGGACCTATAAGTGGGTTATACCCCAGGTTACCAACAACTTATTGGCCGAACACACGAGTGTTGCACTGGCCCAAAGAGACTCGACGATATCTCAACGTTTGGTTTCCCGAACTTGCCACAAGTTGATCGGCTTTTACTTCCAAATCCATTCTCTTTGTGGCAAGAAAGAGCCCTTTTTGGGGGTTTCAGAAATTGCAGGGGAGGTTGAGAAGTTGGCCCATGGGGAACGGGGGGTTCCAACGAGTGCATGACTCAGGTCCCTTACCAGATTGCTTATTTTGGGTTTTGAACGCATTGCAACATGTGAAAGTTGTGGTGTCATTTTGTTTTTTGCAACCCCAAAAAGGATACAATCAAACAAAACACAAACACCCACCCGCCCACCCACCCACCCACTCACCCACCCACCCACCCATGTGTAGAATGTGCGAACTGACCTTTCCAATGCGGAATTCTTCACCAGCAACGGTTCCCGAAAGGTATGGCAGAAGTGATTGATTGCCCTTCCCACGGTTCCCTCAAAGACGGCTTTGACGAATCTCCGTTTGGGGCAAATAATTGCAGCTGGGATTTCGCGTAAGGGACATTCATGGGCTGGAGTGTTTTCATGTGCTTTCTGCATAAAAGGCACTCCCGGTTCTAAGATGCAAAAGCACATCATTCTGATCATTCTGTTCGGCGTGGCCGCAATTTGGCAGCGACGGGGAAATTGATCTTCGAAGGAGGCTCCAGCGGCCCCGCCCCCCGCCCCCCCCAAAGAACAAACAACAAAGAACAACTATCCCAGGGGTGCACATGTATACAACAGCAGAAAAGGCCATGAGATGAAGGATGTTGTTTTTGTCTTGGGAACAGAACAGTGGGTTGTGGGAAGTTGACCCCATAGAAAGTCGATGAACCCTGAAGTTTGTAGTGCCAGGGTAGGTTGGTTGTACGTCGCGAAAAACGGGAATGCGAGTTTGTATTGCGTTTCCCACATGCCCTTTTTATGGTTTCGGCATTAGAAAGGCCAACTGATTTGGTGAGTTTCCTATCGACTTTTTGTCCACCCATTTTCAGGGTGTCCCCACAAAAATCGCCATATGAGCCATGGTCAAAACTCCTTGTTCATAGTTCTCTCCATGGGAATCCCTTGGTTAGAGCTGTACCGCTTGGTATAAAATTTGTGAGGATTCCTTTAGTTCCGTTGTTCAGGAACCAATTGTCTAACCCTTGAGCTCTAAGGCAAACACCACGGGACGAATTGCGATTGAAGATCAGCTTCAGGAATGTCTTCCTCCTGTTTTTCGGTGTTTTTCACAGGTGTGTTCCGCTAAAGATTGTCTGTGTGGAAACTAAAAGTGGATGGGTACCCTCTTGCTGCTCTTCGCATCCGTCATACCAACGGAGGGTTTGCTTTTTCAGACCCCCCCCCCTCAAGCAAAAAGGAGACAACATATCAACCGAGTCTTTTTTAGTTGTTGTTACCCAGTTATTTGTTTTTCGTAAGAGACTCCAAGCGATGAAACTGAGGTCCAGGTTGCCGGGAATCTCCTGCAGGGGGAGCCCTTTGGAAAGCTGCGGAGGCGCTTTCGCTTTTTGGGGGGGTAGAACGGGGGACGCATTTTGTGGACTGCGGGTTTTCCATTTGTGTTCTGGCTTTTTGCAGGGGCCAGGCCAAGCAAATGGAAAGGTACGGTGACGACTTTTAAGAAGGTGGGGGCCGGGCCAGGGCTTCAGGGCCGGGAGGTAGGTAGTGTAAGACATCTGTTGTTAGATCGGATATTTAAAGTGATTGGCCGGGCCACTGTCACGGGCCCTGGAGGTAGTATGAAGTATGAATTAGGATATTCAAATGGCAACACCGAGACAAACCCCTTCCCCGTAAACCTGTTTTCCGCAAACACAGGGTGTCACACAACTCAAGCCCTTGCTAGCAGCTGCGTTGTGCTAGCTCCTGCCAAGCCAGGTCAGATTCCACAACAAAGGCGCAACCTAAGGCGCCATGTCGGTGCAACACCGATGCCTGCAATTGCAGACCAATGCTTTCGAAATTCCATGCTACATAAACGAGGTTCCCAGGCCACGCCCACATAAACGCCTGGAATTGCGGAGCTAAGGGCGCTGAATGGAGCTGCCTAAGCCCTGTCTACGTGGCTCGTAAGAAAGCAAGAAAGACGCGAATGCCCCTTGTCTCGGACGGGGCTCTTGGGATGGGACCTGTTTTTCAACAAATCCCAGAATGAAAAGAATTGGAAGAAAAGAAAGAGAAGGGAGAGAGAGAGAGAGAGAGAGATAATGCCTGGATCTGGCATTGGGCTCTGTGTCAGGCCTGTTCCAGACCTGTTTCAGACCCCTGCGAAAGGACCATCTCATATTCGTAAGATCCTGCCCCGAATCCCTAGCACCAGTATAGCGGTGCAGCGGCTTGTGCAGAAAGAAATCAAGAAAGATACGGATACATTTTTTCCCGGAGGGAACTCCCAGATATCCTTAAATTCTTGAATCCTCTCGTTTCTTGGGATGGGGCCTGTTTTTTAGACCAATGCTTTCGTAATTCCATGCTACATAAACGCCTGGAATTGCGGAGCTAAGGGCGCTGAATGGAGCTGCCTAAGCCCTGTCTACGTGGCTCGTAAGAAAGCAAGAAAGACGCGAATGCCCCTTGTCTCGGACGGGGCTCTTGGGATGGGACCTGTTTTTCAACAAATCCCAGAATGAAAAGAATTGGAAGAAAAGAAAGAGAAGGGAGAGAGAGAGAGAGAGAATGCCTGGATCTGGCATTGGGCTCTGTGTCAGGCCTGTTCCAGACCTGTTTCAGACCCCTGCGAAAGGACCATCTCATATTCGCAAGATCCTGCCCCGAATCCCTAGCACCAGTATAGCGGTGCAGCGGCTTGTGGAGAAAGAAATCAAGAAACATACGGATTCATGTTTTTCCGGAGGGAGCTTGCAGATTTCCTTAAATTCTTGATTTTTTTTGTTTCTTGCGATGGGGCCTGTATTTTCAACAACTTTCAGAACAACGGAATGGTGTAATTGGCAACAAACAGCAAGCAAATTGACACGAAAAACTTGGGCCTCCAGATTGAAGGCGTGGGCCCTTCAAAATTTCGATCAGGGTGAAGCATGATGATGGTTGGTCCGTGGTGGCTTCGTGGAGGCTTCGCAGAGGCTTCCCGGAAACACAGCTGCGTGTACACTGTAACACGCGAGCCCATGCAACAGCAACACCACTGCTACATTTGCCCTCCTTCGGCTGTTTTCTATTTCCGGAACGCCCGGATGTTCAAGCAGGCGGGCCGGGCCAGAGACAGGCTTGCAAGACGCAACGCGAAATACCTATCTAAATCGAGTGTTCAAATTGGTCGGCCGGGCTGGCGGTAACGCTAGGTGCCCACAGCTGAAGACAGGCCCAATCAGTAGTGTATTTTTCCTTAGATGATGGATTTTTGCTTGGGGCTCCCAATAGGTCCGCGATTGCACTTGCGTGGACACATTGTGTGCCGCGAAGCCCCGCAAAACCCGGTAACATTGACACAGGCGAAGCCACTTCGCAAATCCACTTCGTTGTTACAGTGTGCTATGTGCTTTCATGGCAGTGGCATTCCAAAGGTTGATGCTTAGAGTCACTTTCAGAAGACCGCCGGAAGACTATGGCAAGACTGCCGGAAGACGATGGGAAGACAACAGGGAGACTACCGGAAGAGTACTGTGCGTTTCAGACCAACCCTTCCACAAATTCTGGGCCAAGCCCCCGGCGTAGCCTGCCCAGCAGTGTATAAGCCCTGAACCTTTGAAAAGAACAATGCTCAAACCCCTTTGCGCCTTGAAAGAGAGACCAACGGAGAACCCACCAGTTTGGGGATCCCTGTTTTCACATTCCCCCGCTGTTTCCCATCTTCTTAAAGTTACCCGGTTCCCTCCAGGTTCTTTTCTTTCTCACTCCCAGAGAACGCATTGGACTCGAGGCGACATGTAGGTTACCTTTGCATAAAGAACCTGAATGGCATTTCTTATGCCAATTTCTATGTTAAAAGCTGTGCCACACGAGGCTGCAAGATTCATTTCGTATTTTTTATATCTTCATCTATTTTTACTTTATGAGGCCTTTGCCAAGCTGCTTGCTTACGTAAAAAGTCGACCCGGTCGAACAAAGAAAAAACGAGGAGTTTGAATCATTTAAACCTCTTACCTTAAATTACATTCCATGAGCTGTTTTGACACGGGAAAGGGACGTGTACTTTGTGCCACAACTCAAAATATTCCCTGCAGCGAAAGAAACACACAGGGCCCCCTAGTAATAAAGAGGTTGTTTTTTCCCCGAACCACTCTTTTTGATTGGGGCGGCCGTTTAAAATTCGGGGGAAGGGATCACAGAGGTCTTTCCGAAACTGTTTAGTATTTGACGGTAGACTAAATACCCGGATTCCGATCATATTATTTGGCTGTGGCTCAAAAACAATGGTACCGGTACCATTTTGGGGTAGGTGAGTTCACCACCCACTTTAGAACCTATTTTAGTGGTTGGATTGGGATGTTCACTGAAAAATACGATTTGGTTTTTGATCCATGGCCATTTCTGTGTAGCCACATCCAAGTTGAGCCAAGCCGTGCGCGCCGACACGGCCTTGGTCCAGGCGAGGCTATGGCGCCCGCGTGCAGAAGCGCCTCTTCGCACTGCCGGCGGCGTGAGGGGCCGAGCCCGTGACTCTTCAAGGAGTCATAGCCACGTGGATGGTTGCGAAATCCGAGTCCGCACCACGAAATGAAACCGGGGGAAACCATTGTTGGTTGGTATTTTCCGGGGAAGCATCATTCCAGCAATTTTAAGTGGTGCAGGATTTCGTCCATCCACAGTTTGGCTATGAATTTGAATGGGGAATGCCCTTTGCCAAACGCTTGGTCGACAAACTCTTCCACCTAAATGATGTCCACTAAAGGGCTAATTAGTTCCCAATCAACATTCACACCCATACAACCAGGGACCAAAACTGATTCCTTTGGCTAACTTACGATTATAGCTGTAAACCGATATCCATTCTAGTAGAACGAAACATTCATAGATTTTTGGACACACATGTCTTTGCCTTTCCTCCATCGTTGCCACCCATTAGAAGCCTCCTAGCCTTATTGAACGTCCAAAATGTTGTTCCGGATCCCTCAACGTTCCACGCAATTTCAGCTTGCTGGTGCGATAGGTAGGGAATGTGGGATGTGCACCACAGCGGAGCGGATTGCCCGATGTCACTCTCACCGAAATGACCAAGCGAGCTGAAGGCAGCGCAACATTTCCAGCGCCGTTTCAAGCTCACTGCAAAAGGCCGGTCGCTCGATTTGAAAACCACGCTGAGTGACGCCGGGTTGCGACGGTGACTGTTCTGCAGCTGGGCACATTGGCTGCCCCCTTCGAGGCATTCGCTTGGCATGGCCACTTAAATCTGGGGCTGTTGTGGCCTGGGATTCTGCAGACTGAGCCAGGTGCAAGCGCAGCTCAGGAATGTGAAGCACGTCCGACTGAGCGTGCTTTTGCTGCCATTCTTGAATCTGGGGCTGTTTTGAACTGGGGTTCTGCAAACTGGGGCGGAGACAACAGCCAGGTGAAAGAGCAGCTGAGGAAAGTCCAGTGCATCCTGCTTTTGCTGCCATCCTTGGATGACCTGGGCAGGAGACAGCAGCAAGGTGCAAGAGCAGCTGAGGAACGTCAAGCCCAATCAACTCCCTTTGCTGCCATTCTTGAATATGGGATGTTGTTACCTGCGGCACTCCAGGAGAAGGCAGAGACAGCAGCAAAGTGCAAGAGGCGCTGAAAGCGTCAAGCATATCCAATCGAGTGGCGGCGCCTTTGCTGCCATCCTTGAATCTGGGGCTGTTGTCACCTGGGGTGTTCCAGAATATGGCGGAGGCAGCAACCAGGTGCAAGATCAGCTCAGGAACGAGAACACTATCTGCCGCCATTCTTGAATTTTGGGCTGCTGTGGCCTGGGGTGTTCCAGAAGAAAGCGTAGAGAGCAGCCAGGTGCCAGAGCCGGATTTGGCGGTGAAACACCACGAGGCAGCGACGCAAACTTGGGCAACAGTCAATACCAGCATCAGCTACTGTCCGGGTGCCGTGGTTTTTGCAGGGTACGCCTTTTGGGGTAGGGAAGCCAAGATTTGAAGGAAAGCTACTGTGATGGTAGGTAAATCTGCAGGCTGGGGGGAGGGGGGAAGCCTTTTGCTTTTTTCTCGAGCGCGGGTCGAATCCCAACTCGGCCGTTCTGAGTTTCATCTTGAGCGATCAGCCAATTCACATGAACATGGGCCCACTATCGGGAAACAACTACCCCCCTGCCAAAACAAAAACGTTCGAGGAGAGGCTCTTAGAATCCTTCTTAGGTGGTTCGTAGATAGTTCTCAGAGCCGTTATGGTGGGTACCCCAATGAGATTTTGACACATACCCAAACACCGCCAAGTGAAACATCAATTCAATTACTCAGGACCCACAATTGGTGTTCCTCTTGGTTTCCTGTTTTGAAAGGGTGGCCAAAAAAGATGGGGGACATGACCCCATTTTGAACAGGTCAGAAGGAAACTCCAAAAAGCCGGTTTTTCCAGACCTTGGGTATGGGTTGCAACGCGGAGTTCGTTGCCCGGTGTCCAACTTGTGTCCCAGACGCAAAACTTGCGTGTGTGTTTTGGTGAAACCCCTGTTTGTTGGTTTAAAAATGGAGGCCACGAAGAAACCATCCATTTTGTGGGTCCCCCCCCCCAATTTTAGTGTGGTCTCAAGCCTTTTGCAAGTGGGTGTTTGTCCGTTTGGTCTCCCTTTGCCGTGATAAGCCCTGATCCAAAACTACCCCACTACATATGAAGGCCTTGAACCTCCAGGCTCTCAAATAATGAGGTCTTGTTGAGGCTCCTACCACAGCCCTCCTTTGGTGGTCTCATTTTGCCCGGCGAGGTCGGCCCAGTACGGCTTCCCCTCGCTGGAGCTCACCTCTCGCTCCACCTGCCATGACGTGGCGCGCCGCAGGCCTTTTCTTGCGAATCGATCAGCGAGCCGAAGCGGTGTTTGTTCAAACCAGCTGGGGGGAAGAGGGAGGGGGCGAAGGGGGGAGGGGGCGAGCGGGGAGGGGGTATGACCGCAGGACCTTGGCAAGTAGGTGATAACTTTACAACCTACTTCGCGAAATATTATGGACGACTTGTGTATCTTCTGACCTACTTGATAAGAGTTTATGACCTACTTAGCAAGCATCCAAAAAAGAGTTGCTTTTCATGTGCTTTCCTTTTACGTAGCATCCGTTTGAAACCGCCCAGCGTGATTCGTTTGCTTCATTTGCTTGCCTTTTGGTTTCAACCACCTGGTTTTATCCGCTTTTCTTTGGGTTTTCTGTCAAACCGTTCCCAAAGTTGTGTTTCTTGCATTTCGTTTCGTTTCGTTTTGAAGCAATCCAAAAAGGTTTTGCCTTTGCCACAAGAGGCGAACGCCTGGGGAGTCTTAGCCCAAACAAGCTCGGGAACAGTTGGGAGCAGATTTCAGGGAGGGCTCCAGCGGGTTCCGCGGCTGTGGCTGAATATGTATATATACAAACAATAGTGTGTGTGTATATATGTATATATGTATGTATGTGGGTGTCTCAAAAATAGAGGACCCCTAAAAAGGTCGGCTTCCTTTTTAGCCAAGCCCAAGAATACCATCAAAAAAGAGAAGGCCTAATATATATATATATACAATTATAATTGGGGATTCAGTTTCTATAATGGCCACGGCTTCCTGTTGCTTTGCCATTTTGTTAGAACATGCCCCCACGCGGTTTCCTTTTGAAATCCCTTTGAAACCCGCTCGGGTGGTCGATGCACCCTCCTAAAACAAAAATGCACAACACATGGTGATGTCTCCCAACGGCGGAACAACTTCCCGCCACTTCGTTCCTTTTTGGGAAAAGAAGAGGAGACCAAGCATGGAAGACCATCAACCCATATGGGTGGCTCGTCTTTCTTTGATGGTATTTCTCTTGGGGTGGGTTCAAACTGGTTTGAGGGGTTCAGCTATTTTGAGAGAAACCCCGACACTGGCAGGTGTGTTCTCTTCTTGTTTTCGGGGACCCCCTTTTGATTGTGGTGTTCAGTTTTTTTCTTCTGGAAAAACAGAACACAAAAACTTGCTAGTGCCCAGTAGGGAATGTGGCCATGAACCCAGTCCCCTCAAAGGTAATCACCAGTTGGATGGATTTTCTTGGGGTCCTTCCCTGACTTCCTGCCCATCGCACCAGCCAGAAAAAGGGGGTCTCTCTATTTTTGAGAACATATATATTTTGTTTATTGTTTTTCTTTTTCGAGAACCCCCCCCCTTGTTTTTATTGCGTTGTTTCTTTGGTCTCCCTTTGAACCAAGCACAAAACCGGGGCTGCCGCTCCAAAAAGCAACGCGCCAGGAACCTGGCGCCGGCGGTGGAGCGCTTCCCGGCGCTGCGCAGCGCGGGGGCGCGCCGGGGGGCCGAACGAAGCATGGCTTCCGCGCGCGTCCGCGGGATGCCTGGGGTCGACTTCTATAAAATGGGGGGATGTCTGGGGGGATGTCTGGGGTACATTTTTCCAGTGACTCAAATTGAAGCAAACAATAAAACATATACTTTCTGTAACTGGGCCTAACTCTAATCATGATGGTGTGTTTTTGTTTTTTGTGTGTTTCAACATAGGGGTACCCCCAAATCGGTGGGTGTTCCTTTTTTCTAAGCCTACTCCAAAAAGGGCACCCTAAAAACAGACAGTCCCATGTGCGTGTGTGTGTGTGTGTGGGTACGTTTTCTTTTTTGTGTGGTGGGCGGGGGGCGGCCGGGGGGGGGGGGGATACTTTTTCTCGGAGCGCTTTGTTGTTATACCCAAAAGCTGCACACGGATGCAAATAGTAGCCCCCCAACACTGAACGGGCTCAGAACAGGATCCCTTTGATCGCCGATTTTTTTGCTTGTGATTGGGCCATGCTATCAGGTACCCTCAATTGGTGGTTTGGGTTGGTGGGATTTGATGCCTTGGTTCCTGTGGAGGGTAAAAGGGAAACCACCGAACTCCAAACCACCAATGAGGGGAAGCTGATTCTAGTTTTCAGTATTAGGAACCTCGGCGTCGGCGTGCAGCCGGCCCGGGCTCGAACAAGGATTTTTTTGTGGTTGTAAAGGAAAACCAAAAGGAAAACCACCACTTGTGGAGCCCTGGCAAGAAGCTCTCAAACTTGCAACCTACAGACCAGACGTTTGTCCATGGCAAGAAGCAGATCGTCAGGTGGGTCTTTCGTTCGATGTGCGCAACATGTGTTCAACCAGACTCTGACCCTCACTGGGCAACCAAAACAGATTGATCCACAGATGGGTGCCTCTTGTTTGAGGATACCCGCTTTGTATTTGCTTGTTTTTCCGGGACACGAACAGGAGTACCACATGTATATATATATATATATACACATACACATATATATATATATGTATACATACTTGTTTAAGGGGGGGTGTCCTAAAAACAGGCAAGTCTCCAAATGAGATGTGGTGAGCCATGGGATCCTCCAAGCCTTGCAGATGAACCCTTCGCTTCGAGGTCCCCCCTTAGCTGACCTCGATGAGATCGATGCCGGGCACCTGAGGGACCTGGGGGCAGAGGAGTGTTTGGCCTGTGGAGCCCGGTCATGCGGTTTCCTCGTGGTTTCCTTTTTTTTTCCGGCTCATCCGAAGTGCCTGAGGAATGTGTGTATATATATATATATATTTTTCATGATGGAATTATTTCCTTATTTCTTTTTATGTTCAGTTAGAATTTGAGTAGAAGCGGATAAAGATATGAAGCGTAAATTCATAAGGACATATTCCAGACGGGCACCCATGCTGCAAGAGATCAGTCGCTTTCCGTTGTTGCTTGGTTTGAAGCAATCTTTTGGCTTGAAAGCATAAGGACCTTCGTGAAGTTAGGTTGCGAGGAATAGGCCGAGACCAGACGAAGGCTCCCAGAGAATCTGTCTTCCCGGGTTGTCGTAAAAGACTCCTTTGGGTGGGTTTTGAGTATGTCCCGACCACCAAAGCCGATCCGGCTTTCAGCATGTCTCGTTGCAAACGGATTGCAGCTGCAGAGGTCACAATGTTTTGTTCTCAGCATGGGCTGGTGGGATTTGCAAGGGTTCACGCCCATTCAATCAAAGCCATTTGTGTCTGGCAATTTGAACACGCCTGGAAGAATCATCCTGTGCCATGAAGGTGGATGTTCACTTGCCCAGCGGAGATAGTTGCTCCATCTCACTCTTAGGGAAAAGGCCAATCAGCGAGCTGAAAGCTGCAGCGCAGCAGCATTTCCAGCGCCGCTTGAAGCTCACTGCGAAAGGCGGGCAGCTTGATTTGCGGGCCACACTGAGTGAGGCTGGGTTGCAAGATGGGGACGTGGTTGTTGCGGTTGTGCAGCCAGCAAAACTAGCTGCCACTGGCAAGGCGTTTGCCTTGTATGGCCATGCGGGCGAGGTTGTGACCTGGGGTGATCCAACATATGGCGGAGACAGCAGCCAGGAGAAAGAGCAGCTGAGGAACGTCCAGCACATCCAAGCAAATAAGTGTGCTTTTGCTGCCATTCTTGAATCTGGGGCTGTTGTGACCTGGGGTGATCCAGCATATGGCGGAGCCAGCCAGCTCGCGAACGTGCAGCACATCCAAGCAACTGATGGTGCTTTTGCTGCCATTCTTGAATCTGGGGCTGTTGTGACCTGGGGTGATCCAGAATATGGCGGAGCCAGCCAGCTCGCGAACGTGCAGCACATCCAAGCAACTGATGGTGCTTTTGCTGCCATTCTTGAATCTGGACAGCAGCCAGGTGCAAGAGCAGCTGAGGAACGTCAAGCACATCCAAGCAACTGAGAGTGCTTTTGCTGCCATTCTTGAATCTGGGGCTGTTGTGACCTGGGGTCGTGCGGACTGCGGTGGAGACAGCAGCCAGGTGCAAGAGCAGCTGAGGAACGTCAAGCACATCCAAGCAACTGACAGTGCCTTTGCTGCCATTCTTGAATCTGGGGGTGTTGTGACCTGGGGTTATCCAGGCTGGGGTGGGGACAGCAGCCAAGTGCAAGAGCAGCTGAAGAACGTCCAGCACATCCAAGCAGCTAGTGGTGCTTTTGCTGCCATTCTTGAATCTGGGGCAGTTGTTGCCTGGGGTGATCCAAAGGAAGGCGGAGACAGCAGCCAGGTGCAGGAGCAGCTGAGGAACGTCCAGCACATCCAAGCAATGAGCTGCCATTCTTGAATCTGGGGCTGTTGTGACCTGGGGTGATCCAGGCTGGGGTGCTGCCTGCCATTCTTGAATCTGGGGCTGTTGTGACCTGGGGTGATCCAGAATATGGCGGAGCCAGCCAGCTCGCGAACGTGCAGCACATCCAAGCAACTGATGGTGCTTTTGCTGCCATTCTTGAATCTGGGGCTGTTGTGACCTGGGGTGATCCAGAATATGGCGGAGCCAGCCAGCTCGCGAACGTGCAGCACATCCAAGCAACTGATGGTGCTTTTGCTGCCATTCTTGAATCTGGGGCTGTTGTTGCCTGGGGTGATCCAAAGGAAGGCGGAGACAGCAGCCAGGTGCAAGAGCAGCTGAGGAACGTCAAGCACATCCAAGCAACTGAGAGTGCTTTTGCTGCCATTCTTGAATCTGGGGCTGTTGTGACCTGGGGTCGTGCGGACTGCGGTGGAGACAGCAGCCAGGTGCAAGAGCAGCTGAGGAACGTCAAGCACATCCAAGCAACTGACAGTGCCTTTGCTGCCATTCTTGAATCTGGGGGTGTTGTGACCTGGGGTTATCCAGGCTGGGGTGGGGACAGCAGCCAAGTGCAAGAGCAGCTGAAGAACGTCCAGCACATCCAAGCAGCTAGTGGTGCTTTTGCTGCCATTCTTGAATCTGGGGCAGTTGTTGCCTGGGGTGATCCAAAGGAAGGCGGAGACAGCAGCCAGGTGCAGGAGCAGCTGAGGAACGTCCAGCACATCCAAGCAACTGAGTA